CTCTCTTATTAGTTCAAGCTCTTCTTAAACAGCTTTTTCCAAGGAAGGAACAGAGGGACATTACCAAATGACCTGCTGGTTAGCTCCAAAAAGCTGTAAGCAGACACCGTCCTATCTTCTTCATCCTGTCTGCCTTTGTCCTGTCCCAGTGAAATTGGAGACACACACACACAGACACCTCTCAGCAATAGCTAGCATACCACATGCCAACTAGGATGTGTGTGGCTAGGGTCCATGCTGTGGGAGATGGGAGGGAAAGGTGGGGGGGGGGTCCCTGCTTGAGCAGCAAGTGGGGAGTGGGGCAGGAGGAAGCCAGGCAGACCCTGCTGTGCCTGTAGTCTCTGCCAGAGCTCTGGGTAGGGAACAGAGGGGGAGGGCCAGCACTGCTCTCTGGAGCAGATAGCATAGCACAGCACAGCCCAGGGCTGCAAAGCATCTGAGATGCTGGGAGACTCTGGTTTAACTTAAACCAAGAAGGATTCTGGGACAGACATTGAATAAAGGGGTTTGGCCAAATCAGTTAAGTCTGATACTACATTCAACCAGGTTTATTTTAAACCAGTTTCACCCATTTTGAAACTGGTTTATGTGCACTGAACTTACGCTCTATTACAGGTTTAAACTGATTTCTGATCACTTAAACTGGTTTATGTGTAATGTCTGTCCTTAGCCCACATAGTAGTGAACTCCTCCCTGGGGGACGAGTTGTGGGGTGATGGAGGTGCAGAGGTATTTCCACACGAGGCGTTTCCTCGGGCAGGGGGAACTGAACCCAGAGGGGCCTGGTCAGTTCTGACCACTCTTGATCTTCAGAAACAAGCATAGGCTGTGTCCCATCCCCACATCTCATCCTCCGAAGGCAGGTGGCAAACATGCCCTTGACTCCAGTTGAATCTGTAGCTTCAGAGCACTTGGAACTGAAATCCACTCTGGGCGAGGTGAGACACGGGGCTGTGGGCCGAGAAGCTGGACTATCTCAGTGACAGCAGTCCCACTAAAACAGTGGTCTCAACCCTCTTAGTCTCAAGACTCCCCTCATTAGAGTCCAGCACCCCTTGGAGAAGCAGCTCTTCCTTTTCACTCCTTTTTTAACTACAGAAAAATACTAGAGCAAATCTCCTGTTGCAAAGACCTCTGGGAGCCCACAGCAGGGCAGGAAGTTTCAGTGCTATGATGTAATCCTACATACAAGCTGTGGGTTTCTCTTGTGAAATAAGTTTGCACACCTAGCAGTGCCGATGCTGCATGGCCCCCCACAGCACCCTTGAAAGGGTCTCACGGCACCCCAGGGTGCTATGGTTCCTGGTTGAGAATCCCTGCATTAAAGGCCCAATGAGCAGGGGGTGTCCTTGATGCCATCTGCTGCTTTCAGACCCTGCTTCTTCATTGGGAGCTGTGCAGATAAATCCCTCTGACTGCACAAAGTCCCAGCAGGGTCATGAGACCAGAGCGTCCGTGCTGGGCCAGGGCCTCAGCCTGTATGCCCAGCATGGTGATAGTGCTCCATGCCACAGAAGCGGGGCTGTAGGTTTTCTGTCTCCTTCGGTGTCTTGAAATGGAAGCAGGTGATTCCATCACACTCATCTCCTAACAGTGCAAAAAGGCTGCAGAGGTTTTTTTGCCTAGGAGAGCAGACACACAACACCCAGTCTCAAGCCACTGTGGAGTCACTCAGTTCTAAGATAAAGTTACCCCAAGGAACATAAGGCCTGTTGACATACTAGTGTAAGTGATACCCATGTGCTGTATGTGAGTCTGCTCCCTAGTTCAGAAGGGACCAACCTGTTTGGCAAATTAGCCCAAATTAGCCCAAACCCTCTCTGAATGACCCTGTGATCCCCTTCCCCTGCCCAATCTGCTGCTCTGCTTCCTGCTCCCTGCCCCTTGCTCCCTGTCTGATCTGCTGCTCTGGTATGTCCATCACCTGGAAAAGGTGAGTCACTCAGGGGCCCAGAGAAACAGAACTGAGAGCGAATGTCTGTGCGTGGGGTGGAAAAAGTGGTGTGGACCCTTCAATACAGTATTTCCTGTGTGGCCTGGACTTCAAAGGCTTTCCGAAACAGGGTGTCAGAAATGGCGTGAGCATGTCTAATGCCGTAGGCCGAGGCAATGCAGAGAAGTGGACTGGAGGTGTCAAAGGAAGTGGTGCAGAGGAAGCCAGCTCTGTGCTGAAGTCACCTAAGCAACAGGATCTGTTTGCAAAACACGGTCTCAGGGCCCTGCAAAGACAAGTAGCTTTCTGCAACAAGGACTGAGATCAAGGTGGTATCAGATCACATCCATCTGCAGCCAGCTGAGCAAGCAAGAGAGGGATCCAGCCAGCTTGGAAGCTGTCCTTTGGGTAATGGCATTGGATGGGATGCTATGGACATTTAGGGGTACAGATGGATGGATGGATGGACTATGGACAGACAGACGGACAGGGATATTTGATCAAGGGCAAATGCAATGTTGCACAGATGGCCCAACAAAGCATGTGCATCCAGCACGCTATGAGGACACCAATACCCAGCCCTTCCCTGGGAGGAGCTGTTGGGAGGGAGCTGAAGGTGAAGGGAGAGGTTGAGAGCAACAGAAGCTGAAGACAACATGAAGCACTGAGCAAAGGGCATGTGGTGGCTGGGGGGATGGGCTGAGCTTTCTGTGCCCAGGTGCTGGGCTGCCCAGGGCATGGGTGTGATGCTCTCACCCTGAAGCATCCTCTGCTCTGATATTAGGCTCTGATGACAAGTGCATCCATGCTGTCAGTGCCCTGGCTATGGTGGTTGCCTATTGATGTTGCCTGTGAGCTGGTTCTGCCTTCACCGCCTAGCCTGGCAAGGTGACACCCAGGGGAGATTTGCACCTTATAAACCAGCTACATCAGAGCTGAACTTGGGTGGAGGTAGATATTGCAGAGGGACTGCAGGATGCTGAGCTTCTAAATAGACAGCAGTGATCAAACTGCAAAGGGCAAGTCCCCTTTGGGAGGGGTGACACTGGGGGGAAGTGAAATGCTTAAATGAAATCAAATGTTGCGGTGAATAGGAATCCAAGAATAAAGATGAAGTCCCCGGTGGTTCATCTGCATCTCAATCATTTATTTCCCCCTCCATTCTTCATTGTCTGCATCAGCTCGGAGGGATTAACATTTCACCCTGGACAAACGCAGCTGAAAGGAGTCAAACAGGCCAAAGAGGTAAAAATGCTCTGTGGGAACGGTGGATGTCTGCAGAGCTCTGGAGGTGCAGTGGGGATCCACGTTTCCTGAAATGGGATTCCTGTTTCAGGCTGGGGCTGGTTTAAGAGGGGCTGATTCTGCCCCGAGTGGGGAGCTGGGTAGATTGGTGGGGGCTGCCCTTGGACTGTGCTGCCCGGGATCCCTCTCAGCCCACCTGTGCTGTACTTTGGTGCTGGACAGAAGGCTTTGGCCTGGGCAGCCGTGATGCTGCAGGGCAAAACCAGGCCCTGTGAGCCCAGATGCTGACTGAGCAGTCAGAAAGTCTGACCCGAGCATCAGCATCACCGTGCCAGAGTCAACCGCAGCCAGAGCTCAGAAATGTACCTGCAAAGTTGTTGTTTACTGAGCCCAGGGCTCACAATGTCCTTGCGGTTTCTCAAGCCAACAGAGCAGCCGCCCCCATGCAGAGAGTTTCCACCTTGCCCACACCCACAGGGTTTTGTTTCTAGGGGCTTTTCTGCTACTGCTTTGGGTCAAGAGTGAACAGTGGGCTGGATCTGAACTGCTCTGACAGGGGTCACAGGTGCCAGGCTGCTCCCTCCCTCTGCTGCAGCAAAGGGAATGGGCCAAACGCACAGTGGAGGGCACTCAGTGGGCCAGATCCTGACATGTTAATACGCAGCTTGGTCTGGGAGTTCAATCAGTTGCACCTACTTCAGGGCCCATTTGCCCTGCTGGTTGGGTTTCAATGGGCTTTGATGCCTGTGAGCATCGGGTCCAGAGATGCTTCATTTCAAGGCCGTCAGTTGCTGATAGAGGCAGGGATGAGACCATAGATCACCAGGTTGCTCAAGCACAAAGCACACCTGAGCTTGGGCTGGGTGCAGTTCTGGTGTATGGAGGTCATCCACGGATACAAAACCTGCCTGGGAAGCTGGTTAAGTCCTAGGGTGGGTTGTTCTAGTTGCTCAGAGCACAGCACAGGGCACCAAGCCAGTGAGACCACAACTAGGGAGCTCAAAGTTGAAGCCACTGCCATAAAAACCCACCTCTGGATCATAATTCTGGGCCCTTCGGCTTTATGATGTACTGCATCCTCCAAAATGGAGAGAGGCATTTATTCTAAATATTGCATCTAGATTTCTCTTACCAAAAATATTCCATCAATGCTTCTCCACCTACAAGGAAAAACTGGCGTTTTGGCAACAAAACCTTTGAGGGGTTTATTTTTTGGTCAGAGAGCTGCAAAGATAAGGCTTGTGCACACAGTCAAGCATGGGTCATGACATCAGGGAAAAGGCCATGGGATGAGTGCATTCAGAGCCCAGTAGCTGGCATGTGCTAAACCTGAGTGCAGCATCCTCCCAGCTCATGTGGGAGCGCAGCACAGATACTCCAGCACAGGTTCCCATCCAATTGTGGGCTGGACACAGGCCCCAGCTCCCTGGGGATTGTCTCTTGTTCTCTCATTGCCGAACAGCTCAAGAGTCCATTTGATGTCCCGCCACAGGGGACACATGCAGCCAGGAATTTCAGGGGGGAAAACAGCACAATATAGGTTGGTGTTCAACTGTCCCAGGATGCAGGAAATGTTCCACCTGGTTCTATTGGGAAGTGTATGCTGCAATGATGGAAAATGATATATCACCCACCCCCCAGCCATGCTCATCATTTGGATCTTTGGATCTATCCAGTCTGAATGCCCACAATAAGAGAGCTTGTGTCCCACACACACCCCACGTACACCCCGTGGAGACTTCTTGGAGGCTGGCATGGCTCACATTGATCAGCAGAGAACTGCCCACCATCCTCGCATGAAGGAGCCTATGGATGCAGATGTTCATGGGATCACATTCTTCCCTCGTGGTCCCTGCTGCTTTCTGGGCTTCTTGAGAGTCGGCGGCTCAAACGCCAGGTCCGCATATAAAAGTCCATCCTGCTGGAAACATTTCATAGCATTGGAAAAGGACCCAGGCACCTATGCAGGTGGGCTGGGATTCCCTGAGCACCAGTGAAAGATTTCTCTGGTCCCTTATGCTCCTGCTTTCCCTATCAAGGGTTAGTGCAGGGGTGGGCAAAATGTAGCCTGCGGGCCACATGCGCCCTGCCAGGCCATCCTATCTGGCCCGTGGGGCCCCCCAAAAATTTAGAAAATTAATATTTATCTGCCCCTGGCTGCCTGTCAAGCGGCCCTCAATGGCTTGCCAAAACTCAGTAAGTGACCCTCCACCCAAAATAATTGCCCGCCCCTGTGTCAGTGAAATCACTGGGCTGCCGACACATTGACTCCAATGAGGTGGAGGTCCGATCCAGAGCACCATGCAGTGCAGGCTCTTGGAGTCAGGATGCATGAACATTTCCTGTGGGTGAAAAGCAAGTGGGGGCTTTCCAACATGCCACCTATTCCACAGTAATCAGCCTCTCGCCCATGTGTCTGCTCTCACCCAAAATGAGTGGAAGTTGCTGGGGTGTCCTTAACCCTCAGTGAACCAGGAGTAGCTAAACTACTGTGGCTTCCACGTGCCACACATCCAAGCCTTGAATTGCTCTGCAAACATTGTATCTTCCAGCATGCAACACATACCTTTTCCTCCCAAACCAGCCCACAATTGGGGTGCGAGTATTAAGTGAAGAAGTCTATTATTTTCTCAGAATTAGAAACACCTGGCCTTGCTCCCTGCTGCCCAGCAGCTCTGCTATTCCTCTTCAGGCAGCCAAGGGAGTTCACGGCCCCTTGCCCTTCACTGCACAGGGGTTAACAACCGTCTCTCCTTTTCCATGGTCACTGCACTAGGGACCCAGCCTCTCCAAGGGCAGTTTTGCTGTGTGCTAGGGCATCTGGTGTCACACCTCTTTAGATCAGTTCAAGATCAGAGGTCCACCCATGGAGACCAGGCTTCCTCTGCCACTCAGGTTTTAGTGCAGCAAGAAGAGGAGGCTCTGTCCCTGCTGCTCAGCCATAACTCTGGGAAATACATTTCTTCAAGGTGCCTTTCAAACACAAGGTGCCTATGACAGTTTTGGGTGTATTATATCTGAAAAACTCCAGTCCTCTGAGTGATTTAAGGGCCAACCACTGATTACAGTCCATCTAAGACCCAAAGAGGGTCTGAAGCTACCGTTTGATGTTCCTGGGACCAAGGGAAAGGGGGGTCTTGTTCTCTCTGCTTCTACACACAGGGATGAAGCAGTTAAAATGATGACACCAGGGTCCTGCAGTATGCAAGCAGACAGTCTAGGATAATGCTTGCCCTTAAACCGAGCTTCCTCCTTGTCAATCTATGACTCAGTTCAAGGGAGTGATGTGCTGTGAGGATGGACCCACAGACAAGCCCAATGAGGCAGACAGCAAAGGTTTGTAATGGGCTGTACCTGATTCCTCTGGGTGCAAGGTGCTGGCTTCCTGGACCGGGTTTCTGAAATAGAGACAGTGGTCATAGCCCCTTTTCCACTGCCGTGTCCCCGTGTACACAGGACTGAGCACATGGGCGCAGAGTCCCCAGTGCAAAGCCTCATGCCCTGTGTGAGCCACGGACCCTGGGCTCAGGCTGTCTGTGGCAGGGGCCTGTCTACATCACTCCCCGGGGGCAGAGCTCAGAGCCAACCTCCAGGCACAAGACAAGCCTTGGGGCCTGTGATGGCTGCAGCCTGAGCTCACACAGATGAGCTCACTGGTGATGCCCAGGGAGTGTCTAGGGGCCACGCGCTGTTTCTTACCCCATCGGGGTGGGCAGTGGATCCAGATGAGACTCAGGGGCACTGTGAACAGCAGCAGGGCGCTGCCCACTGCCACGACAGGGAGCATGACGCAGGGTGTGGAGGGAGCTAGAAGGGAGAGACAAAAGACGGGTGTCCTGGGTCTTGCCCTGCTCCGCTCTGCCACAGCGGGGTCCAGTGGTCAGAGGACCCAAGGGAGCTGGGCTCTGTCCCTGGTGCTGCTGATCACCTGCAGGTTACTTCCCCTCCCCCTGCCTCAGTTTCCCCATTCACAAAGCAGCACTGATACTACCAGCCCTTGTAAAGCCCTGGGAGACCTCTGGATGGAAGCTGGTAACGGAGATCTAGGGATTTCTTGTATCCAGTTGCCACTTCTCCATCTGTCTGGAGGAGAACAGGGCTGCTCACTCCTTACTGAGCTGCTTCGTGTTCCTGGGGAGAGGATCATCCTGGCATCCTCTGCCATTTCCAAAATCCCCCCCAGACCTTTCCCCTCACCCCACAGCCCCTCCATCCTTAGAGTATCCAGGATGCTCCTTTCCTCTGTTCACTGGCTCCTAACTCTCCTCTTCCTTTGGATCATTTAACTCTTCACATAGCTCTCTGAAATGGCCTGTGCCTTGTGTCATGCCTCAGGCACTGTTTCAGGCTACCTCCCCCCAAACTCTCTGCAGATCTGCCTGCTGGCAAGCATGACATGATTGTCCAGCCTCCATCACCACATTGGAGGTACAAGTCATTGGTCTTCACATGCATGTGTCTTAGCCTTAAACATGGAACCACTTACATGGAGCATACACGCTGCGTCTGGTAACACTGCTGCCAGATGAGTTGAATGTGACCTCACAGGTGATGGCCACCCCACTGGCCCAGCTGGCCCAGGGGATGCTGATGCCATGGATGAGTGTTAAGGTCCCAGCACTGGCTTCCAGTGTGCGCGGCAGCCCCTGGGCTGGCTCCTCTCCAGGAACGCACCAGGACACCTGGACCAGGCTGGAGACGCCCCGGATCACACAGGCCAGATGTGCAAGATCCATATCTCCATTCTCCCCTGCAATGGGACCCAGGAGCAGCACAGAGCTGCTGTTGGTGAAGCTGTCTGGGCAGAGAGGAAGGAGAGAGTTCATGGGGAGACATTGTTAACCTGCAGCCCGACCACAGCTCTGGGTCTGTCAGCCAGAGATTAAGTGAGATAAAAGTCTATTGATGAATATGGAAATGTGCCGTCCCCTGCTGAGCTGGAAGAGAGGAACCAGCCCAACACACAGCCATCCTAGCTAGCGGAGAGCTGGGCAGCCTTTTCAAAGCAGCACTAACAGCTTTGGGAGATCACAATCTTCTCACCCTCTGCCACGGCTCGGAGGGAGAAATTCCCAGCCTGGCTGCACAGACCAGCCCCACAGACACCCAGCACTTCCCTGCACCACTTGCCAGGTTTCCCCTGTGAGTAAACGCTGCATAGCCCATTCTCTCTCTGCCCCCAGCTGCTAACACTGAACACATTTTACTAAGCTCACTACACAGCTTCTTTTCAGCAATTTACTCTTCTACATTCTTACAGTTTCTTGTCATTTTCTAATGGGACGTGAGCAATGAGACACTCAGCTATTTCTAATGAAAGAAGCAATGGGTCGTTACCTCCAATGATCACCGTGGTTCCATTCCCAAAAGTCAAGGTGTTGGTGTCCGCATGTGCACAGTAATAAATGCCAGACTCATTCCTTTGGATGTCCCTGATTTCCAGTGTTGTGTTGTATTTCTGATGCTTGCAAGCAAATTTGCTCCCATTTGTACCATCCCCACAGTCCTTCATGCGCTTGGGGACCTCACCTGCCCTTCTCAGATACCAGTGCACTTTTACTCCTGCTTCCACATCTTCCCCTAAGGAGCAGTGGATCTCTGCTGTCCCACCGACTTCCACAAACAGGAACCGCTGAGGCTGGTGCAGATGTAACTGGACTCCCAACACTGTGGAAACACAACAGGGCAATCATCAGCTCCCAGCGGGTCTCAGGCTGACACAGGTCATCTTCTTGGGACCAGAAGGCATTTGATGCTACTACTTCTGCTTTCCAGGCAGCCTTGAAGCAGCATCCTAACCACCCCCTCTACAGCTACCTCCAGGACCACCAAAAGGCATTTGAAATCCAGCCCAGAGCCCAGCGCTGGAATCTGTGTCCTGCTGAGGATATTCATGTCCCTGGTCACAGGAGCGCAGTGCTGAGAGCTGTGTTGGGGGTTTACCTAAGGATGAGACAAGCAGGGACTTGATGAAGAACATGATGGTCACAAATATCCTGTCTGTCTGGTCCAAGGACTGCCATCTAAGTGCAGTGAAAGGTCTCAGGGCTGGTCATTTCTTGTGAGGAGCACCTCCCACAGGGTCGTGGCTTCTGGGGAGGAGGGTTCTTTAACCCCATCACCTTGCTGTGCACAGATCTGTATCTGACTGGTGCATCAAGTTGCTATGAGCATTATCACTCGTTACATCAGCAGATAGCATGTCGCAAAATACTTCCCCCTTGCTGGCCTGCTCAGAAGAGCCCAAGTGACTCAGCGGCTCATACTCCATTGACTGTAAAGGGCATCTGTGCTCCTGAATCACTTAGGTGCTTGCGAAGTTGATCCTGCTGCTCCGTGTTTCAGCCATTCAAGCCCCCAAATTCTTATGGGTACAACCCCCACCCTAAAATGAGTCTTTGCAGCCTCTTTGGGGAGAGGCACTGGTGGCAACCGACATCATCAAAGTAAAAGCTCTGGCCTGCACAAGGAAGCCAGGCAATAAAAGCAACACCTTCAGAAGTATCTTTGTGGCTTTAGGCTTATATCTGGTTGCAGAAGCCAGCTGGAGCCGTATTTTAAAGATGCCTTGGCACTCGAAGGCACCTGCAAGTCATATGCCCGTCGTGGATGAGTCAGGAAAACCAGATCACCTTCTTAAGGGGACCCAAGGGCCTTGAAAAACCAGGCTCCTTGAGCCCTCACAGGTGTTGGTAGGATGGAGGCCCCACATGCCCAAGTCATTCTGAAGCAGGAGCTTCTGATGCATTGCCTGCACAGTGCCAGATGCAGCAACAAGGCCGAGCTCAGGGGCTGCCACTGAACAAAGTCCTCCTGCTCCTGCAACGTGAGCAAGGTGGATTGAAGTGAAGGCGTCTGCCTGGAGTAGGGCTCTGTGCTGTGGACAGGCCGTAGGGAGAAGAGCAGCACTTTGCTCCCTGCCTTGGGCTCCATTACGCAGGAATCCTAAATTCATAAGAAAGCCAGGCTGGAGAGGACCTCACAGGATCGTCTATCGCTGGCCTTTGCTCAAGGTGGGATCATCCCTGTTCATTCCCACTCAGTCCTAGTTGCAGAATTGCTGGACTGAACCTCTTGGGTTCTTCATGCTGTTTCACCCCTCATTTGTCATGGCTGGTGCACGGCCATTACCTTCCAACACCCCAATGCCCCTGGAGGCCCTAAGATAGGCCAAGAGCAGAAAGAGTGAAAATCAGCAAATCTAAAGTTCAGTGCAAAGCACTACAGTGCATGCGAGTACGTGGGATCCTGTCCAGAATATCGTGGATGTAAGGATCAGTGCAACTTCCCACAGCAGAGAAAAGAGGTGTGTGTAGCACAGTTCAGCCAAACCTGGGAAAGGACGTAGGAATGCTCCACCTAAATCTCTCTCTTTCTCTCTAGATACCATACGCAAGCAGGACATTGGAGACCCTGGTCTTCCACAGATCTCTTCTCTTTGAGGCATACAGAATTTCCAGAGTCAATACATTCATCCATTTAGACTGACTCCTGGCATAAGCCAACCTCTGTCTTCCATGATCTCTCCTTCCTTCAGTCTTTCCACTTAGGACCCTAGGTTCAATTTTCTCTTTCCTCATGACATGTCCAAGAAACTCCAACTGTCTCTTTCTGGTGTTAGTCAGCAGCTTCCTCCTGCAGCCTGCTCTTGACATAATATCTTCATTTGAGGTGTGATTTGTCCAACATACCTTCAAGATGTGGCTTAAGAACCACATCTAAGTTGTTTCAATTCTCTTTTCCGTACTTGGTGATACTGTCCCGCATTCACATGCATGCATGAGGACTGGTATACCATAGCGATCCAAAACTCTTAGCTTCATCCCCATAGAAATGTTACTATTTGTCAATATCTTTTTCATTTTCAGAAATGCATTTTTTGCCATCCCTGTTCTCCATTTTATTTCATGATCACATTTGCCATCTGATGTTATCCAGCTTCCCAAGTAGTTAAATTTATTGACCTGTCTTATCTGTTCAGTATCTATTTTGATGTTGCATACAGGGATGATCTTCTTTGTAATTACCATGCATTCTGTTTTTCTACAGTCGATACTTAGATCCTCCTTCTCGCTTTCACTAACAGTTTTATCTAAAATTTCTTGCAGCTTGTGACAGGGGGTCGTCACGAGGCCAGTGGAACATCATCCTGCCCTCCTATCTAGGGCAGTCTGCCCTCATTCGCCTGCCACATCTTGCTGTTGTATAACTGTTGTAAACTACGGGAGGCTGTCCATTATGTGTCCCGATGCCTAGGGTGTTATACATGGCTCTGACCTTCCCTATACCGTGTCCCATGCCTCGCAGATGGCATCCAGATTATCAACCCTATCCTGGCCCCTAACTTTGGCCACACTCATTGGGTCCATGCCCCTCCCTCATATTTGGGACTCCTTGCCCCTCCCACACACTTGGGCTCCTAGACACTGGGATCCATGCCTCTCACTAGGCTCCATGCCCCTCACACACACCCTGGGCTCCTAGTTTCTGGGCCCCTCACTAGGCTCCATGCCCTTTCCAGACTCTGAGCTCTTTGCCCCACTCTGGACCCCCTTGGTCCTGCTGACCTCCTTGCTGGGTTACCCACCAGGTTTCATAGATTTCATAGACATTAGGGCTGGAAGGGACCTCGGAAGATCATCGAGTCCAGCCCCCTGCCCAAAGGGGGCACTAAGGCCGAGTACAGGGGGAGAATGACATCCCGGGATTTGCTTGAGAAGCATCTATGGATGCAAGCCAGCGTTTTGGTCGCTTTACTAATTATTTTCATCCACTCCCAAAAAGACAATGAAAATTCTGACTGTACACGAGAAACATTTAGTTATACGAGATCTCTGCCATTGTCCTAGGGTTACCCTATTTTATTTCTCCTCTAAAAGTAACTGCTGTATTGTCACTTTAACGAGACTGATCTAAGCACCTGTTTACAATACATAAAAAACCCTCAAACACAAGTTTGTTCCCCAAAATACTAGCATATTTTATTTAGTTCCATTTTATTTTACTAAAGTTAGAATGTCCAGATACTTTAAATTAAAAAGATTCAATAATTCAAAATTGTGTTTCTAGGCTTTAGATACTTGACACTAGGAAAAAAAAGCTTGAAAAGAGAACATTAATTCTCAATTGCTTTACAAGAGTTACATGTTCACAGAAAATTGGGTAACAAGATATTCTCCCCACCAAAATTAGTAGTTTAAATAATCACTTTCAGGTTAAGTCAGATGCAATACAATATATCAGAATCTAAATCAATATATTTAAAGTATTCTAAAAATGTTTAAAAGCCAACAGTGAATCCTCAAATACAAACATTTTCACTCTAAGGCTATAGCATATTTTTCCCCTCTAGAAAGGGTTTTTTTTTTAATTTGTTCCCTCCATAAGAATGACTTAAAGTCAGTCAAGTCTGTTACAAATCATGCTAACACTCTAAGCTTTAGTGTCCTGGAGAATGAATAGTATGGTGGTAACCTGAAAATTGTCAGCTGGCATATCAAGTTCGGTAAATATAAGATTCTCACCCAAATCAACATTTGGGAACTGTAATGATACCCAGTCACCACTACAAACTAAGAGCCCAGTCCTGCAATTAATTCAGGCATACCCTGAGCCCACCATAGCCTGCTAATTTCAGCAGCCCCATGGGCTGGCAGTCTACATGCCAAGACATTATAAATTTGAGGTTTCAGAGAATACAAAACTTCAATCCTGCAGCTGGCTAAGTGGTTACATCCCCACACTGCCATGTAGCTCAGTGGGATGTACATGCCTGCAGCCAATTGCAGGATCAGGGCCTAAAAGAAAGTGTTAAACCATACACCATTACTGGAGTGTTAGAATATTGTATTTATAGTCATGCTGATGCATCTTGGAGAGGCCCCTGGACAGCAACAGCTTCGATCTCCACTCGTGCATCTTTTGGCAAAGCAACAACCTGATAGGCTGCTCTGGCCGGGAGGTTGCACCTGAAAAATTGCTTGTAGATTTCATTAATATCACTGAAGTCCTTCATGTCAGCCATCAGGATAGTAGTCTTTACAACATTGCCATAGTCACAGCCTGCAGCTTTCAGAATTTCCCCAATGTTTTTTAGAGCCTGCTTAGCTTCTGCTTTCGCCCCTCCAGGTACAAGCTGCCCATTACTAGGATCCATGCCTAGCTGATCTGCGACATACATGGTCCGGTCTACCAGCACTGCTTGACTGTAGGGACCCATGGCAGCGGGTGCCATAGTGGTGCTGATGATTTTCCTTACGAGCGTCACCATGGTCCCAGCTACTCTGCTCTAAGGTTATGGGGTCTGGAGCTATAAGGTGCCCCATACTCGCCTTTCTATAGGGAGGCAAGTGGTGTGGCATTTCCTGTGGACCACCCCACCACAGGCAGCCACTCCACACCATCTTACCCTAGCAGGGTATAATTTTAGGTCATGCCCCAGGACCAGGAACCTCCTGCCATCCCCATAGTTCCTGCCCTGTAACTCCAAAATGTCATGAGCAGCAGCTCCAGCCAGGTGGCGTTCCTCTGGCTGCTAGCAGCAAACTGGGTTAATATGGAGGCTGCTCAGCCCCCTCCTCCAATTACAAGGCCCTCCTGCAGTCATGTGACCACCTCATCATGCTGACCTGCACCTGCTGGCTTCCCTGCTGCCTGCTCTGGCCCTTAAAGTGCCAGGCACCAAAGGTGCTCTGCCACGCAGCTTGATTTCTGAATCAGCCATTAAGACTGTGTCATCAGCATAATGCAAGGTGTTCAAATTCTGTCTGCCAATGATCAGCCCTGCCAAATCCTCAGTCTCCCTCAGTATTTTCTCACTATTCAGTTGAACAAGTCAGGTAAAAAGACATGGCTTTGCCTCATGCCTCTTTTAATCTGGATGAAATCATTTAGTGCGTTTTCTATCTTCACTGCTGCAGTTTGGTCCTATAACCCAGGTGGCAAAGCTACCCACCAATTGTGGCCAATTATGGATCCCTGGTGTCTCTGCCTTGGAGCCCCCCTTCCTCAAGTGTAGAGAGTCTCCTTACAGAAGGAAACCTGGAGCCTCAAAACCTTTGATCAGACAACACTCAGTACTTAACTATATACAATTTATTTACATAGGGAGAACAGGGGAGGTAGAAAAGACCATCAGGATCAATATATACACCAACAACGATACTAATAGCTATTATATACCAGTAACTATTAGGGCTGTGT